ACTAGGGCTGTCGCGATAACTGCAATTACTCTGCCTAGTGAGGACGAGAGAACAAGGTCGGAGTGTCCTTGAAGTGACTGAGGTTAAGGACTTCACTCAAGATGTGTTACTCAAGATGATGGGTGATAGAAATTACTCTTCCACCCACCGGATTTCAACTACCAATCTTCTGAAAACGTGCAGAGAGTTCTAACCCTATGGTTGCCAACCTTGGTCAGCTGGCTGGTGAGAGAATTTCAATTCCAGATGAATCTGCACACGCATTTACATTTATGTAAGAGTTGTTCTATTAGTAAATAGTCTGGAGGGTTTGCAAACTACCCCAACACCTTTGATATAGTTAATTTTAGGCTTATAATGGAAACATATAGATTTGCCATAAGATTTCTAGTCTAGTGGAACCCTGAAGCCTAAAAATGACTTTGTTAGTTTTTTTACCCATTTTTTGCCTGTGGTAACAATGGGGCTCTAGAATTTGTGTCAAGCTCAGTATAATTTTAAGGCCACTAGTCATATACACTCACCTAAAGGATTATTAGGAACACCATACTAATACGGTATTTGACCCCCTTTCGCCTTCAGAACTGCCTTAATTCTACGTGGCATTGATTCAACAAGGTGCTGAAAGCATTCTTTAGAAATGTTGGCCCAAATTGATAGGATAGCATCTTGCAGTTGATGGAGATTTGTGGGATGCACATCCAGGGCACGAAGCTCCCGTTCCACCACATCCCAAAGATGCTCTATCGGGTTGAGATCTGGTGACTGTGGGGGCCATTTTAGTACAGTGAACTCATTGTCATGTTCAAGAAACCAATTTGAAATGATTCGAGCTTTGTGACATGGTGCATTATCCTGCTGGAAGTAGCCATCAGAGGATGGGTACATGGTGGTCATAAAGGGATGGACATGGTGAGAAACAATGCTCAGGTAGGCCGTGGCATTTAAACGATGCCCAATTGGCACTAAGGGGCCTAAAGTGTGCCAAGAAAACATCCCCCACACCATTACACCACCACCACCAGCTGCATAGTGGTAACAAGGCATGATGGATCCATGTTCTCATTCTGTTTACGCCAAATTCTGACTCTACCATTTGAATGTCTCAACAGAAATCGAGACTCATCAGACCAGGCAACATTTTTCCAGTCTTCAACTGTCCAATTTTGGTGAGCTCGTGCAAATTGTAGCCTCTTTTTCCTATTTGTAGTGGAGATGAGTGGTACCCGGTGGGGTCTTCGGCTGTTGTAGCCCATCCGCCTCAAGGTTGTGCGTGTTGTGGCTTCACAAATGCTTTGCTGCATACCTCGGTTGTAACGAGTGGTTATTTCAGTCAAAGTTGCTCTTCTATCAGCTTGAATCAGTCGGCCCATTCTCCTCTGACCTCTAGCATCAACAAGGCATTTTCGCCCACAGGACTGCCGCATACTGGATGTTTTTCCCTTTGCACACCATTCTTTGTAAACCCTAGAAATGGTTGTGCGTGAAAATCCCAGTAACTGAGCAGATTGTGAAATACTCAGACCGGCCCGTCTGGCACCAACAACCATGCCACCCTCAAAATTGCTTAAATCACCTTTCTTTCCCATTCTGACGTTCAGTTTGGAGTTCAGGAGATTGTCTTGACCAGGACCACACCCCTAAATGCATTGAAGCAACTGCCATGTGATTGGTTGATTAGATAATTGCATTAATGAGAAATTGAACAGGTGTTCCTAATAATCCTTTAGGTGAGTGTATGTTGGGCATGGCTGGTAAGTGAATTAGGAGTTAAATGACATTTCTATCTATGCAATGACCACCTACAGAGGATCCAGATTCAAAATTTCCATATGAATAATGTACGAACTGAAAAAATAGAGGACTTACATTTTAGCACAATCCATACAAGTCTATCTTGCAATGTTTTAAGGAGAAACTTAAACTTCAGCCATCTTTTTTTGGCTGAAGAAGGCTGAAATGATGATCAGAGCTCCCTCCTTTGGAGAGTAGCACAAACACGAGTAGACATCAAACCAAGGACTGTTTGGCTGAACATCACACTGAACCTGAAAAGAAAATGTATGTTGTAATGAAAGCTGGGACTTTTACTCGAGCCCATCTTCTGCTGTACTTTGGGTGCCGTGTGAGACTGGCAGACTGCCATAGCTGAAACGTGGTTTCAGCTAAATATATATATTGTTGTAACTTATGTCACACATTACATAATGATATAAAAGGTTTAGCTGAAAGAAGCTAAAAGGTATTTTTGTGAAGGGGAGGAGTGATTCCTCTATACAGAGAGCAGCCAGTCAGATATGCCTCACTGAGCAGAGACCTGGAGGGTGGAGGGCAGACTCATGTGAAAATTAAGGTGCAGTTTTACCTCATTTGACCTTCTTCCACTCCATCACTTACATGTATAAATAGTTTGAAAACAAATGGACACTGACATCAATTGGGGTATGTACTGAACATGACTCCCAATTTAAAAATCCAGATGCCATAATTAGTAGTCTTAAAATAGTCCGATTTCACAATTATATGTGCAACTACAATTAGCACACCTCATTTATTGTATCAACTAACAATAAGGAGCTAGATTCCATAGAAAATCTTACTGGTCACAATTTGACTACAATGGCTCCCTCTAGTGGCAGTAACCAATAGTAGCAGAAATGGCAGCTATAGCGAGCTCTGTTTATTCAATCAGTAAAGGGCTATTATTGTAGCAAATTATGTGCAAATGTGTGTGGAGAGTTGCGATACTGCATCTCAATCTGTAAATCTGTACTGAGATTTGCAAATGTATACAGGAATCTGTAAGTGTATTCAGAATCCGTTGCAAATGCATAGACAAATCTACAAATACATATATAAGATTCAAGATTCAAGATTAAGTATTAAGGGATAAAAAAAAGTCCAGGTATTTGCTCCAAGTGCGATAAATACAGACAAGCCATCAGTTACAACTCAGGCGGACCTCTCAATTGGCTGCCTTTTAACACATGATTTTTGCTACACTTCTTCCTAGAGAGATCTGCAAATGCATGTGGAGATTTGTGTACCTGAATATCAATCCATAGAGATTTGCAAGGACATTTATATTTGTACATGTGTAGACAAATCTGTAAATGCCTACATAGGTATTAATAGATAAAAAGTGTAAGTATTTTGCTCCAATCACTGTAAATACTTTGCCTGATTGTCTCAACTGTAATGTGAAAATTAAGGTGCATTTTTACCTCATTTGACCTTCTTCCACTGCATCACTTACGTGTATATTGTGCTAGTCTTAAAATACTCAGATTTCACGATTATATGTGCAGCTGCATTCAGTAGCACAACTCATTTATTGTACCAACTAAAAAAAGGAGCCAGGTTGCACAGAAAAACTTACTGGTCACAATTTGACTACAATGGCTCCCTCTAGTGGCAGTATCTAGTAGTAGCAGAAATGGCAGCTATAACAAGGTTGGATTATTCAATCGGTTAAGTAGTTTAGCGTAGGACCTGCTTCTACTACACAAAAAGAGCACAAAGGAAACAGTATCAGTTTTCAAAGCTGACGCTTCTGAACTTTTAATTATCCAGTTAGAACTTCATAGCCAATTTCAGTCTTTTCCACCAAAAATAAATTTAGAGCTATTTAGGCATTTAATTCCAATGACACATTAAAAAAAAATCTCGTACAATTGCGTTGTTTTTCACAATTAAAGCATTTCAATGGAATGCACTAAAAATCTGGCTTAGTGTCATGACACGTGCCTTTAGCCCACAGTGCAAGAAAGGTGCGTTTTTACGGGAAGTTAATGTGTTTGTGCTCTAGAAAGCCCCCAAGTTTACTGTACAGTACATTATAAATTATTACGGCATACCTTTTTTTTAAAATTATGACTGTTATAAGTCAAAACATGTTAACAAGATGTTAATTGGGTTTCAAATCAGATTCAGGACTGAACACGAGATTAAGAATTACATTACGACTCAATTACAAAACTTTTACAAAAAGGAAAACAAAACAAACGGAAAATCCAATAATAAATCAACCATATTTTTATATGTATGACACAAACACAAAAAAAAGTAACAAATATGAAGACAAAAAGAAACTTAACTGTGGGCATCATTACAGGGGATTAGCTAAGGGGGTTGTTTCAGTACAGTATATTAGCAAAGTGAATTTTCAACTTGAATGTATCAGTCTTGCGTAAAGGCTGTAGGCCTCCAATGAAATATATTAAACTGAATGTAAATCAGACCACATGTTCCGCTCTAAGCCCAGCCCTAATGTCGCACTCAGGCAGATGCTTCAGGAAAACCTGTATTCACCTGTTGCCTTTCATGGCTTACGATGACATTAAAGCAGGCGTCAAGCTTCCTGGGAGCAAAGGGGGCCCATGCACAGTAATACTGTCATCAGCACAGCAGATCTGGAAGACACTGGTAAGAGCCCCATATGTAGCCTATGGGACCAGAGCACAGCTGGCACTGTAAGAGCCCTGGCTGAGTACTAGTGTTGTGCCAGGGCAGCGCTACACACATTTTTATACATGCAGATAAAAGATATATTCTGCTATACCCTGTTTGGCCACTGGGTGGCAGGATGTTAAACTGGCTGTCCACAATCTTTCGGTCAGCAGTCCTTACACCTGCCATGTATACTCACGTGGTGGAGTCTGGGAAGCAAACGGATCACATGCTAAACATAACGCACACTTTGATCCATTATTCAAAATTAGTGTTAGATTAACAGAAGTTTAACCTCTGATTGACTCATCAGTGCTTTTTGTTAACCTCTGACTGAGACTGTCTATGAACACTTTCTCCTGATGTACTCTTAGTTACTGCCACTGATATATTTTTCCTGAATGTGCATTTTTAATCTGTACATCTTTGGGCATGCTAGCATACTCCACCAATCGACGGTCTATGAAATTTTGTTTATCTCCCTTTCATAAAGAGGCACACAACCAGCTATACATATCATCAGTTCCGCAGATAAATCACTAATATTCCCCTTTTCTTTTGAGAAGAGCCATGTGTTTTTTTTTTTTTTTTCTTCCACCACGACAAATTTTTTTTTTTTTTCGAAGGAGCACAGAGAAGTCAGAGTTGCTGCAGGACTATGGTATCACGGTCGTTCACGAGTTTCGACTCCTCGCATCCTTTTCGGAGTCCGTGGGCATCAGGGTCCACGCGTGCTCAGTCCGTTCCTCCCAAGTTATCCATGAGCAGCTGGCGCCTCTCAGGTCAGAGGTCAACAGCGAGGGCGCAAGGCGCTCATGATCAGCCTCCCATTTCTAATCCCAACATGTTTATGTTCCAGGCTGCTTGAAGACCTGGAGCAACTTCTCCTCTACAAATTTAAACCTACTAAGTGCAAAACAATACTGTACTCCCTTTCCTGGCAAACTACAAAGTCTTACGCGAGAGAACACAGTGGAAACCAGTGCTGCTGCTGTCACAACCATGAGGCTGTACTCAGAAGAAACAGTCCAGATCAGGTTTCCGGTGGTCTCTCAGTCTCAGGTACGGGAGGATGCAGCACAAGATCTAACTTAAGGAAGCGTTGGCGTTGCAGGGAACTTGATCCCACTGGATGGTGAGCCCCAGTAGTGCAGATCCATGTCCGGAGCAGGAGATAACTGGGAATGCTACACTTCCCTAAGAAAAGATCAGAAGCGATTTGATGTTAAAATATGCACTAATTTGCTTACTTAGGAACATTTTTTTCTGAAGCAGAGGAACAATATGCAACAGGTTGAGACACAGGTATGTTACTTAAGGACATGGATCAGGATGAAACAAGGAGCAGAGACAGACAGAGGCAAGCAAATCAAAAGAATGTCTGAATATATAGCAACTAGCAATGTATTAACAGAAATGTGTGAATATTTTTACAGCTTAATGGGAAAACAAAAATACTTGGGAAACTATGTTGCAAAGGACATAGACGGGATCATGTTGTGAAATGAGAAATATCTATTGAAGCATCGCTTCAAAAGTGCAGTGTGTCATCGTGACACTAAGCCTTTTGTGATGGAGGAACTGTCATCGCGTTTCTCAGAAAGGGTGGAGACCAGGGCAATATGCCGTTAGATCACAGACCAGCGTCAAGACAATGACTTGGCAGGTCACGCGTAAGCTTTCCACACCCTTTCCAGGACAAAAGTCTAAATAAAAGTACCCTGCATTGATGGGGCACAAGGGGCAGTATAACAGCCAGTTAGCTAACGGTACTGCTTTCTTCTCACGGTCTGGCAGTCATGTGACAGTCATGTGACCACAAACACTCTAGTGCTCTGGGACTAAGTTTGATAGTGCTTCAGCAGAAGGATACAACTGAGGAAAGCAATGTAATGTAACGTAAAGTAATGTAATGTAATTCTTTTTTCTAAAGAACACTTGAACAACTGAAGTTTTTGAAGTGCTGTACAAAATTAGCACAAACAAGACATAAGACAACGCCGTAAATAGTCACAATACACCCAACAAGGACTAAAATGATAATATAACTATCGACAGTTAGAACTAAAAGCCAATCTATAAAAAATAATAATAATAATAATTTTATCGAGATTTAAAAATATGGACTGAAGGGGAGGAGCGAGTCTGCAAAGTGTTTCAGAGATGAAAGCAGCAAAAGGTGTACTGGGGAAAAGGAGGCAGCAGAAGGGCAACAGCAGGGGGTGCTGTGGCGAGGAGGAGCAGACTTACGATGCCGAGAGTGTGGAGTTGAGCATGACGGTGGTGCGTATGCGGTACAGATGCGCCAGGGTCAGCTTCTTGTGCTGCTGCATCGGCGATCTCCTGGCCACCTCAGGCTCCGTGTCCTCAGGCTCCTCAGAGCCGCCCGACTCTCCCAGGGAGAATGAGGACGTCATCTCGCCGTCCGACCCAGTCAGGGTACTCTGAACCTGCCGAGAGTCCGTGCACTCCGAGGTGTCCGTTAAAGCGCCTGAGCTGTCGCATCTAGCGGACAGGTCCTCAGCGGAGTCTGCGTGCTCAGCCTGGAACAGGAAGTCCTGCTTGTTGAGTTGCGACAAGCTTCTGCTGTGGATGAGGCCGGCCCTCCTGTTGGCGAGCCGTGTCCTCATCACGTTGCCGGCGCTGCAGCGTGCCTCCACGCCTCCCTGCGTCCGCTGCAGCAGGTTGTCCTCGGAGTGGCACTTGATGGCGAGGTTCTGTAGACAGCGCTGGTGTTTCTGCACTGGTGTGCAGCGCCGCAGCTTGACGGAGTCGGTGACAGAGAGCTGGGAACCCATGCGGGTGGGATCCTCCTCGTCTGACTCCTCCACCAGCTCCTCGCCCTCCGTCTCCTCCGCCTCACCCTCCGTGTCCTCCTCATCCTCCTCTCCCTGGCCAGGCCTCTCCCTCAGGGACAGCTGTCGGAGCAGGGACTCTGGCGACAGCGTGCCATAGGCGCTGTCTATGGACATGGAGCGATCCGCCGTCCCTGGCACATCCAGGCTGTCGGTCTGCAGTCCCTCACGGTGGGACTCTACGGCCATCAATCCGGAGCTGCATACGTCAACCCCGACCAGGGAGGCCTCATCTGCAGAGCCGTTTGGGATCGCTTCCTGCGATGACGAGTCGCCGCCGTCTTCCATGACCGCCACGGATAGGGTCTCGGTGGAGCCGTCTGATTGGCTGTAGGAATGAGGGCACAGACTTCACCGAATAGCATGCAAAAGGTGCTACAGACCAAGAGCCTTCTGTGCTCTCCAACTGCACATCCTATCTGTTATCACTGTACATTCTTATCCTCAAACTTACGTTTTAGTTAAATATCAAATTGTAACCTACTTGCCTTCACCTACTGCTGTATGCTGTTCTGTTTTGCATATGATAGATACATTTTTAGTGTTTGATTGATACACTGATTGATTGATTTATTGACTGACTGACTGTCCCTATCTCCTATCCCTCCGCTGGCAGCGATTCTGGGCTCAGAAGGCATTACCTTTCAGCCTGATGGTCCTTGTGCCGCAGGCAGGGGGAGCTGGCCGTGGAGTTACTGCTCTCTTCCTCCTCCTCCTCCGCTACGCCCCCGGCTTGCTTCTGCTTCCGCCGGAGCTCCTCGGAGTGAAGCTTCTGGAGCTGGTTCTGTCACATGAAAATGACAGTCAGACGCCGGCGGGCAAGAGGGCGGGATGCCGCCTCGTCACCGACGCGCCGAATGCGTCACGGCGACGTGGAAAAGCACGTGCCAGGGTTGGCCAAGGAAGGTGGCGATTCCTGCGCTACCCTAGTGTGTCATGAAAAGGGTGCCGGTGGTCAGAGGAGCTGATATGCAGGAGAGAACCGACGTACCCGGACGTTACAGATGGCGTCTGTCCAGCTCCGCCCCTGGGTGGTGCTGTTGGCCTGGAAGGAGTAGGCGGCCACCGCGTTGCCGAACTCGTTGAGGTAGATGACGAGGAAGGAGCCTGGGGAGGGAACAGTCAGCGACACGTCAGACCCCCCCGTCATCAAATGAGGCCTCGGCTTACATTACTCAGCCATTTTTATTTTAATGTGCCTGTCTGTTTGATTTGTAAAAACTGCAAAGTCATTAAAATAAACTATTCATTTACCTCTTTGCTAAAGTTGTCTTAGCTATAGTCATGGCTGTTCACTGAAAACATTTAACTGAAAATAGGTCAAAAGTTGAAACCGAGCCACGCAGAGCAGCAGAGCGCAGGACTTAGTTATGTTCTTATGCTTTTCTATAAGCTTATTTTACTAGCTGTGGTGGAATTGGGGGGCGTGGGGGGGGGGGCACACACTCACCAGTGTCCTTCAGCTCCTTACACACCATGTTGTGGATGAACAGGGGCTGGCGGATGACTTTAACCTTCTCACGCTTTACTGGCTTGGTGATCAGCAGCATGTCGGTGAACAGGAAGCAGTGAACATCCATCTGTGTGGGGGGGGGGAGATACAGCAGTTAGGATTCCGTGGCTTGTTACCCTGAAGCTTACTCAACATGAAACGGCCTGATCTCAACCTTCGGCTAGGCTTGTGCGATTAATCGCGCGAACACAGCAACACAGCTTTCATTACGTTGTGTGTCTATTATCCTCCGTCCCACAGGCTGCCAGGGGGCAGGTGCCTTGTTTCTGAGGCCCCACTTGAAAAAACTCACCACCACCCCCCCCCAGAAGAGCTAGAAGATCATGGCTAGGCTAATCGATTAGCATAACATGCAGTTTCAGTATCTCCTAAATAAGGGATTAATTTAATATTTAGTGTTGTGACGGCTTGTGGCCAGCAGGGGGCAGCCGGCCTCCTCACCCTGCTGTCCTTCCCCTCCTTCATGCGCAGCGGTCCCTCCATGTGCAGCTGCCGCGTCTCCCCTGGCGGTGTCCCCTTCATGGGGGCCATCAGGTCGAAGCAGTTGTACTCTCGCAGGATCTGTAGGGGGAGAGACTGAGCTTGGTTTCCATGGAAACACAGCCAGCCTGACGCCATGTTCATGACTGCGTTTCCCCCTTACCTTCTCAACCTCCTCGCCGCCCCCATCCACGGCCTCATAGGACTCGATGCGGCTCGAGATGGAGGCCAGTTTTTTATGCTCCTGCCGCTGCCGCATCTGACTGTCCACGCTGTTGATAAAGGCCTCGACCGAGGCCACCTGTAGGGGGCGCCATCCTCAGTTCAATACAGGGTAAGCATACACACATACCAGGCACAATTCTAAAAAAAAAAAAAAAAAAAAAGCATCTCATCAGCCAATGACATTTTGTATTGGTGAGTAGCGGGAAAGGAGGCATTCCGGGAGCCAATCAGCTTTCAGCTGGGCCTGTAAACACCCCTGACTCATACACACACAGAAAGCATGGGCTCCTTGTCCCATATACACTCAAGAATTTTTCCCATAAAATCTTCTAGCTATTATTCTTTATCACTATCATACCGTTATCATAAAGTCAAAATAGCGCAATACAATAAAGGCAGTAAATGTAAATGCAACCAAATACCATGCACCAGAGCATGAATCCAAACAGGGCCTCTGGAACAGTTATGTGCTATCTGCCCACTTTAAAGGATTGGCTCTATGAATAAATGCAAATGCTGTAAATGTGAATGGCTGCACGGCGGCCCCCCCGCTCACCATGCCGCTGAGGACCTCGCGGCCGGCCGGCTCGTCCGTCTTCTTCAGCACGCTCTTCAGCAGCAGGGGGTACTTGGTCAGCCTCTGGTGCGGCTTCACTACCATGTCAGTCAGCTTCAGTCGGTTACACTGCTTGTGCGTCTCAGCCCACTGCGAGGGAAAGGGGGCTGGGGGGTCAACATCTGGACAGGACACACCATAACCCCCCCCCCCCCCCCCCCAAAGAACCCCTAGAAGCATGAACCATTGCAAAGTCCTGACAGGATTAAATTTAATTGTGTTCCATGCCCTAACTTCCCAGAGTTATATAGTGCCATCATTTGCTAACATGAAATGTTTGTTTTTGTTATTTTATATTGGTATCAGTTATCTCCTCTGTCACTACTTCCCTTAAATTGTTGATAACTGCATAGAAATGTTCATCTCCGTTACGTAGATTGTCTTTAGTACCCCAACATCAATCCTGTGGGTTTGAGAGGATCGTCACTTCGTGACGCCGCGTACCGTACATGGCAGGGAGCCAAGGGCGCCGTGCCGAGCAGGCGGGCTGGAGGACTCACCGTCACGTACATCCTGAAGGGCTCATTGTCCCTCAGCAGGCTCTTCATGTACTCCATGCAGGCCTCCTCCTCCATGCAGTACTGGATGTAGGGCTTGAATCGGACGTCGATCTGCACACGTGGGTACAAGCGGGTCACATCCAGCCAAGGGGGACTGAGTCCGCGAGTCGCAGAGGAGACTCATCTCAAACTTAGCTGTGTCAGTCCAAACCACTATAGGTACAGGCACCTCAAATCCCACCATACTATGCAAACTAACTATCGAATATCCAGCCTCCAGGTTACAAACGAGTGTCGTTCCCCAAGTATGTCATTAAGCCCAATTTGGAGGCAAGTCTGAAAAATGATAATACAGCCTATAATTATGCAATAATAATACAAGTAACTACATACGGTAACTGTACATCCAGCTGAGGCACCAGTGAAGGCGTCCAGTGTTTCACACACTAGCGTGTGCGTTCGTTATTACGAATCGTTGTATTTAACCCGAATTCTCAATATAACAGGCTCTGCAGCAGTCTGAAAGTCGGACGTTCTTAAACCTGGGGCTGCCCGCACACATTATTTGGGGCGGCACAGTGGCTCGTATTTCCAAGGTAGGGGGCTCAAACGCCGCCCCCAGCTTTGTGCAGTACTCCTTGTGTCATTCCTGCTTGATCTTGTAATTTAACAACATGAATTCAAGTGAGCTGGTATTTTCAAATTGGCCATATTGTGCTATTTTGCAATTGCGCCACGAATCAGAATAGACATTTCTTTTTATTTAGCAGAGACATTTCTGGGATTTGAACAGGTAACCTGAACATAGGCAGAGTGTCGTAACCACATACCCACCCCATCCAGGGCGTACCTTAGGCTACCTGGGATATGCTACAGGGTCATGGAGAACTCAAGCTAGATAAGCAGTAGGAAGATGCATGTAAATATATTATTCTACAAAGCATGTCCTACACCAGGGGGGGCCAATCTTCTCCGCAAAGGGCCGGTGTGTGCAGGGTTTTGGGATAACCTGTAGGTCAGCTGTTCAAACCCAGGTGTGAGGACTCTTCAGCCAATCAGTCCACTAATTAGTAATCTAATTAGGGAGTTGCAGCGAAAACCCGCACACACAGCGGCCCTTTGCGAATAAGATTGGCCACCCCTGTCCTAAGAGATGACACACACACACACACACACACACACACACACACACACACAAAGTCCTACTGATTAGAGAGGCACTGTGTTTGTGGGACGCGAGCGTGTGGGCGCTGCTTACGGTGCGGAAGCCCTCCTCCAGGTGTGCGGGGTCCAGCAGTGTGCGGGCCTGACGAGCCTTTTCCACGGCGGGCAGCATGACCTCAGCCCACAGCGCCGTGTGCAGCCGCACGATGTCCTGGATGTTGCTGAAGAGGCGTATGGGGTTCACCTCCTGGAGGAGTTTGCTGTCCTGAAGGTTCAGCAGGCAGCTGTAGAAAAGCTGGGTGGGGGAGACGGAAATTAAGAGCTGGAGAAGAAGCCAAGAACATCAGCTGGTGTTTCCATAAAAGGAGAGAAAATGTCCTTGTAACTTGGGACCGGCAGGTAAATGCTCTGAATGGCCCAAAACGCTTCAGATTCAACGAATTTCTCAGGCAAGAAATTTAAATACATTAAAATACTTTTTTCATGACAAAAGGATTTTTCTTATTTTGCCAAACAATGGCTTGTTTAGAAATCATCCACTGAAATGTAATGATTCGCCAAAAAATACTAGTCAATATCACCCTCAATTTTCTCAGAGAAGCCTACAAAAAATCTGACTAAACTAGGTAGCAAAATAAACGTAGGAACCAAAGATTTCCAGGAGATTTGTAGTGAAATCCCATAATGGAAACCCACTATGGAAATGAAAGTGACGTCTCCGCTCATCGGGTTAGGGGGGGTCATCGGGTTAGGGGGGTCATCGGGTTAGGGGGGTCATCGGGTTAGGGGGGGTCATCGGGTTAGGGGGCTCCCCAACAGCCACCTCTCCAAAACCATTAAAGATAATGACCTTATTTGCTATTAAAACCTAAGTTAAGTCCCCCCTTTTGAGGACACATGTACATGCTGTAAGGCCGAGTTGGAGATGCTCACATCGGTGATGACCCTCAGCTTCTTGATGTAGGTGGCCTCGGTCTGCAGCAGCTCCCAGATCGCCTCCTGCTGGTGGACCTGCCACTTGCTCAGCGACTGCGAAAGATGAGGAGACAGACACGCGCGCGGAGCGTCACACACACACACCTGTGCCACCCTGCGTCTTTTTTGCAGCTGCAATTTTGTTAGGCTCAGTGTGGCATATATATATAAAAAATAAATTATACGGGATCATGAGGCAACGCACTGGACTGATTTTGGCTCTATAAAGGAGAGGAAAGAGATGCGTAAAAAGCTCGACGAAAATGCTCAGCCCCGCCCGCCGCCATTACTACAGA